GACAGTCCCAGCAGGGAGCTGCAGTCTGAACAGGTAAGTGTTGTGGTTCACCTCAGTCTTAGACACCAACACACAATCCCGATAGAAGAGAGCTGTAACACAGGGAACAGCAACGTGGTCTCCTATGCATCTTTCTTTTTGTCTGAGCACACAGCATGCAGGAAGCGAGTGGAGCGATGTGAACAGGCTGCACATCTGTGATGCTGTTGGAACCCACCTCGGTCTTTCTGGCGTACAAACGTATTATGGGACTCCAGAGGTTGACCGAGGCTCGCCCATTTCCCGTGAGTACCTTTGCGTATGCTAACCTGGATCTTTCCCACGGAGAAAGCAGTGTGAACTGTAGATGATAACAACTTACCAACTTAAGGACAAGAGCAAGACAGTGAATGTTCATTTTAATCTGTTTTCAAAGATGTTGTTCACCTGCAACATTTTCCTCAACTTCATCAGAGAGACCTGCAAAAGCACGACAGTCGATCTTACAAACAAATCATTTATTCATGAGCTTGAAACTCACATTAGGGCTGTGTTGACAGAAGCTGTGCTAAAAGCTGGAGGAGCAATCTCCACAGGAGAAAAACTTCCAGAAGTAACAGCACCTAAAAATCTCATTAGAAAGTAGTTCTGGCACCAAATCAAACCATAATCTGATTTTAGCTGAATCTGGATGCCACCGAGTCACACCTTTATAAAGCTAAGCAAAGACCAAGACTACACCCCAGCTTTCAGATCGTCTATGATGAAATGCTCAATGACAGCAGAAAGAGAAACATCTGCTGTGACTTGTGAGGGGTGAAGAGAACAGAGTCAGCTATAACACATGTGGGAGCTAACAGATATCTCGGTATGACTTCCATAACTGAGGAATGCTTGGGAGAAAGCTCTTGTGTAGCTGTGGGCAAACGTTTACACATCATGGGCACGAAGCTCAGGCTCACTTTGGGCTTTTAATGGTTTCTTGGAACGGCTCTTTTCCCAGAGTGCGATGATAAAAAACAAGGATTGAGCACACAAATTTAAATCCATTTTGTGTTTTCTCTCATCAAAGTCAAACAGATACATACAGGCTTAAATACTGTACATACATCCCAACTAATGTCTAAATGTCTCTCGGTATGTTGAACCTTGAACAGTTCGTTTAAATTGGTCAGTTTTACACATATTTCAATA